AGTCTGTCTGAAAATCGGTTTCGGCTACCCCACAAAAAAGTGCGGTTTCGTACTCCTCAAAAAAAGTCAGTTTCACACGCCCTCCAAAAAAGAAAAAAACTCGGCGGGGGAGGGGGCTGCGCCCCGTCGCCCGTTTCACACCCCGTCGCTAGTTGGCAAATAAAGGGGGGGGTCTCCCTCGACCTCGGAACCCCTACTTCCCCCAGCCTCTGAGGTTTCTCCTTGGCCGCCCCCGCCCCCATCCGGGGAACCCTGGGAAAAAATAGAAGCTGGAGGGGGTTTGCGAGTCTCTTTGGGACGGAGACCGTTCTCTCTGCTCCGTTTTCTAGGGGTGGAATGGGGCTTGGCAGGTGGATTCCCCATCCCCCATCCTAGAATGAATCCCGCTGGGACCACAAGGGGAAACCCTGGTCTTGGGACCCCCCCCCTCCCCTTCGAGGGCGGGAGGCAAGGGATGTTTTCAAAGTTGCTTAAAAATAATTCCCGGATACATCGTGACAATAAAACAACGTGGGGTGGTTTTTTTTCTTTTCTGAATTCGGTTGGGTTTTTTTTTTTTTTAAGGGGGTTGGGGAGAGGAGGTTAAGGGTGCAGCGAAGCTTTCCGGGCTCCTGGGTAGGGTGGCCTCCTCCCACCCATTAGGTCGTGAATCTGGGAGAGGGCTTTGCTGCTTTTGACCTGTGGATTTCTTTCACTTTGAGTTTGGGGGTGGCGGAACCTTGAACGTGCTGTGACAGCTGCTGGGGGGGGGGGTCACCAAATTCTTTGGGGGCGGGGCCTGATAGCCGACTCTCCCCTTTCCCAGGGGCGGGGCCGTGGGGGAGCCTAGAGGTGGTTGGAAATGGGAGATGTGGCCCTGAGGACAAGGGACCATTCCCGCCCTGCGTCCAGTTTGAAATTTGCAACTTGATTCCTTGGTGGTTGCAGAGGGAGTAGAGGGAATTTATGTTCACACCCCCTCCCGGTGTTGGAACAACTGGAGGCCTCTGGGGACTCCGGAGGGTTCTAGAGGGACCCAAACCCTTATTCCCAGCTTCCCTGTCCCCACCCCCATGATCAGGAAGGGACTCAGTTTGGGAGATGACCCCTCCCCTGCACAGGCCCCTGTAGAGCCGAGACCCTCAGGGCAGTTAAAGGGGCTTTTTAAATGGCTTCCCCATCACCCACCTGTACAGTTTGGCCACAGTGACTCACACCTCCTCTCTCCTCTTGTTTTTTCTGTGTGTGTCCGTCTGTCCCTGTCTCTCCCTGTGTCCAACACACAGGCCTGTTTCTAGGCCTGAGGTGCCCACCCTGGCCCCTGTGCCCACCGTTGCTGCTGGAGAATGAACCAGTCGCAGAGAATGGCGCCTGTTGGCACAGACAAGGAGCTCAGTGACCTCCTGGATTTTAGCATGGTAAGCCAGAAGCCCCCCACCTCCTGGATGTCCCTCTGCACCACCACCCCCAGAATTCACAGAAAGGTTTTTAAGGGGAAAGAAATGTTTTCCAGAAATACTGCCAGCGTCAGAGCCTCAGCAACCTGTTAGGGTGGAAGGTTCTCCTGGTGGGGCTGGGGAAGTTGGGTTACTCTCCAGTGGGCTGGCTGGCACTCCCATGGTAGTGTGTGTACAGCATCAGGGTTTTGTCCAGCCACCGAGTAGGTACAGTCCAACACTTTACAGATGGGGAAACTGAGGCCTTGAGACAGGAAAGGGGCTGCCTGGGGCTTCCAGCTTCTCTGTGGGGTTGGAGGGCTGGACCTCAAGGGCCCAGCCCTGAGGCCCCAGCTAGACTGTTTGAGCAAACCGTGGCCTTGAATTTCTGATCTGTTAAGTGGGTATGAGCAGGGTTATTTGTTCCATCATGGGTGCAAAAAGTAAAAGATAAGAAGAGGTACCTAGTAGTGACAGGACGGGCATGTTGGGCCTGTATGGGGCCCCCTCCTTGTGTGGGCAGAAGATACAGAGCATAAAACTAATTCCTCTGTGAATTAGTCACTCATGAGGGCTCCCATGGTGAGGGCTTCAGTTTACAGGAGCACAGGTGTGGTTGACCAGGAAAAGACCTCGTTGTTAGCAGTGAGTGCAAGTCCTGGAGGAAGCTCTGAGCACACAGTAGCCAGCAGTGGCCAGTGCTGTCACTGCTGTCAGGGTTATTGTCGGGAGGGTGGGGGTGGTTCCAACACTTCCCAGGTGGAGCCTCTCTGAAGGGCCTGTTTTCCAGCTGGGTAGATGGAGGCTCAGAGAGGGTGCAAGCTTCCAGAGGTCACAAAGCTCAGGCCCAGTGCAGCTGAGAAACCAGAGCCCCTTGAGTACCAAGAGCTGGCGGGCGTCTTGAAGGCCCACCGTACACTGAAGACCCTTGTTGGTGTCAGAGGGGGTGAGCAATGCTTCCTTGACAAATGCAGGAACCTTGGGTGTTTTTTCTTCTGGCTCGTGTGCAGGTGATTCCTTAAATCACACAGCCCCCACCCCTTCTTTGGTAGTCACAATTTTGGTTTGGAACAGGTTGGGGGAGGGCACTTTCAGTCTGAATTTAATTCTCCTCTAGTACGAGGTCCAGGTTACTGTCAAAAACAAAAGTCCCCAAACCGAAACGACATCAGACATCAGCCACCCTGCAGAAGAACAGTCTGAGGGCTGGAGGGGCCTAAGCTCCCGGAATGGCCATGCTGGTATTTTTAAGTCCCGCTTTATTTTTGCCTTCCTGGCTGAGTAACCAGAGGTGCAGTTAGGTTGTTTTTTTGTTAAACTGACAAGTCACAGATTATTGGGCTGGAACGGACCAGCTATTGGGTGGTTCAGGTGGGGGCACGGGCTCAGCCCCATGGCTCCCAGACCCTTCACCTCCACCGTCCGAGGGCCCCAAGCTGCTCACCCACCTCTCCCTTCTGTCCAGAGGGTCCAAAAATCTCCCCCACCCTGGGTCAGAACCATCAGTCTGTGGGGAAACTGAGGCTGAGGAAAAGGAGTTGCCAGTCTCTTTAGGAGTCTCCCCTGCTGGAGCTTTATCCAGAGCTGGATTTTCACCCTCCTTGATATTGTGAGGAGAGAGGCCCATCTGGCCAAGCCAGGAGGCTCTTCATTACCTCCCGTGTCCCTCCTCTGTCCCACCGTAGCCGCCCCGTACCACCTGCCTACAGAAGTTGAGTAGGTTTGTGTCTTCCAACAAGAACGCACCTATCTGAAAACAAAGCGCTTTCTTGGACCAGGTTCCCATAAAGTGGAAGAGATGAATGTTAGAATGAACGCTGAGGAGGAGACTGGGCCACGCCGGGAACATTCCACCCTGGTCTGATCCTGGTCTGGAGTTTCTTTTGTTGAGAGGAGATCAAAGGGCCTGGAGGGCCCACGAGCCCCTGGCTGAGGCTGAGTGATGCTCGCTGCGTGTGCCCACAGCGGTCACTGAGTGGTGGGGCTGTAAGGGTGAGGGGTGGGAGTGAGCGCTGGTGGGAGGGGCATTGCCCTGGACCCTGGCTGTCAGTAACCAGCAGAGGCCCTCACCAAGCACAAGACGCCCGTGTTCATTTGGGTTTCATCACATCCCACGTGGCCAGAGCCCTGGGTCCATTTCACAGAAAACAAAACTGAGGCTCTGAGGGGTGCGGGGGCTGGTCTGGGCTGATCACAAGGCCTACAGAGCCCACAGGACATGGCCCAGTGCCCCTTGTGGCGAGCACTACGTCAGCATAGCCCTTGCACCTTGGAGGATGAAAGAAGTAGGAATGGAATTGACCCCGTCCTCCTCCCACCACACCATGGGCTTGGCTGCTGACCCCAGGTCTGGGGTCCGTTTGGTTCTGGTCTTAGGTCAGGCTAGCCCCTCCCCCAATACAGGCCTCAGTTTCCCCAATGGGAACAGGGCCCTGGGGCCGTTGGGCCAGTTCCTGTTCAACGCATGAGTGCAGCCAAGCCCACAAAAGCTGGGGGGGGTGGGGAAGGGCAGTGCAGTGCAGACCCGGGTGAGAACCTGCCTCCAGCCAGAGCCAGATGAGAATATGGACTCGGTTTCCTCTTCTGTAGAATGGGGGTGTGGGAGACAGGGCCCCACTTCCTGGCTCCCCCTCAGTGCTTGTCACGGCCACAGGTGCCGTGCCTTCACCTTCCGGCTGGCTGGAGAGGGTTGTGGGGACTGTCAGCTTGGCGGCTCCCCAACAGTCCCTGGCCCCGATTCCAGCCACTTTAATCACTTGGGCCCCAAAGGGAATCTTTAAAACCCAGCCCTTTGGGGCAGGGCAAGGATGTGTTTTGTTTTTTCTGTGGCATAAGGGTTTGTTGATGTTGGCTTTTTCCGGTTAATGCTGCTAAGCTGTTTAATCTTTAGGGACTTAGCGCCCTGGGTATGGGTGAGCCAGGCGGGGGGG